AAACTGTTGCTGGAATGTTGTACAGGATTGATAGCGGACATGCTTGTATAGTCTTTGCAAAATAAACTATACTCCCCTCTTGACGTTTGGAATAACTTTTGCTCATTTCTGTAGTCTAGACACCTTTGATAATGTCTATCATCTCTCAAAGGTCACAAACAATGGTCCAGTCCTCTCATTTGCAAATTGGTATCTGGGGCTGTCATTCATCTAGATTAGGAAACCTGGGCTCACCGAGAGCACTTAGGACTCCCTGATGTTAGTTCCTCCCCTAACGAGTGTTTGTTCTCCCTGGTTAATCTGAATATCATTCCCTTTGCCAAAAAAGAAATACCCAATGCCCAAGCACCTAAGTTTCCATGGCACCTATAAAATACTAGAAGCTGACAGTATTTCTGATTGAATAGGTGATAGGAAAGGGGTAGGGACCAGACACTGGAGAGGACTGGAGAGAAAGAAAGAAAACTGTTTCTCTTTTCAGATGACATGAATGACTGTGTCCGTAGTAAAGCTTTGCTAAATCCTCTGTCATTCAGTTTGTTTTTATTGACTGCTTTTTTTCTTGAGTAACATTTTGTTGCTACTTTGCAGGTTGCACTGATTATTTTTGCTTTATAAAAGAAAACCAAAAAAAACAACTACCCCAAAGCTTAATGGTTTAAAACAACAACCGTTTTATGGGTTCTCACAGATTCTGTGGGTCAGGAAATTTGGAGAGGGCACAATAAGTATTGTTTGTCTCTGTTCCGTGGCTGGGAAGACCAGAAAGTGGTGACTCGATTCTTGGTGGAATTACATGGACATTCCCTTACTAGCATGTCTGATGCCGGGGTTAGGATGATTTGATATCTAGGCCCACTGGCTTTACTACCAACATGTGGCTTGGCTTTCTCACACCATTGGCCTGAGTGGTCTGACTAACCATCTCCCAAAATGCCTCACATCCCAACACTGTTGCACTGGGGATTAAGTTTCTGACACGTGAATTTTGGGGGACACATCCAGACTATAGCACCCACCGAGAGTCAAGGGGAAAGACAGAGACTCTGCCTCTTGATGGGAAGTGTGTCAAAGAATTGGCAACCATTTCACAAAACCGCCATACTGTCCAGAGATTTTTCATTATTTTATCTTGGCTATTATTGATGACACATTGTAGAAACTCTGGATTCTGTTATTTTCCTCTGAACTGTGTTGATTTTTGTTCCAGTAGGCAATTCAATGATCTGTTAACCATCCTGAACTTTAGAAGGCTTGGTTTTATGCCCTGTTAGGTAGATCTGTGGAAAGTCCACGCAGTTCCTGTGACCTTCTAAATGCAATCGCAAAACTCTGTCTCCCCTGCTCATCTTGACAGGAATTGATTGTAAGCTTTGTTGGGTAGATCTCACTCTGGGATGTGACCCTTATTTCTAAGCTATGGCCTTAGGATGTTCATGGTGTTAATAAAGTATTAACAACATCTCTCCTCTCTGGCTGGGCTGGCCCCCAATGTCCTGCAACACTGCTCTGCCTCTACTGTCTCTGTTTCAACCCCATAGCAGTGGTTCTCTGGCAGGCTTTAGGAGGTCTCACTCTGAGCAAGCACCACTTGGCCAAAGACTCTCCCTGCAGACTTCTGCCCCTCCTCTCCACTTGGCAATTCCCTCTTTGGTGACCTGTCCTGCAAATTCCAGCCACTTTAGCTGCCCCAAGCTCTGATCTCTCCCTTCTACACCTAGTGAGAGTCCTGTGCTCTGCTTGGACTTCAGCTCATTGCACCATGGGGAACTGTCCCCAGGCAGACAGTTGTAGGACTCACCATGGGAATTTCCCCTCTCTCAAGGATAGCAGTCTTGCACTGTCTGTTGTCCACTGCCTGACAATAGCTGCATATTTTCTTTATTCCTGGGATGCAAGGTGGTTTAACATACGCATAGTAATAAATATGATTCACCACATAAGCAGAATTAAAAGCAAAAACCATATGATCTTCTCAATCGATGCAGAAAAAGCTTTCAATACAATCCAACATACCTTCATGGCAAAAACTCTCAACAAACTAGTCACTGAAGGAACATACCTCAAAATAGTAAGAGCCGTCTATGACAAATCCACAGCCAACATCATACTGAATGGGTAAGAGCTGGAAACACTCCCCTTAAGAATAGGAACAAGACAAGGATGCCCACTCTCACTACTTCTATTGAGCATAGCACTGGTAGTCCTAGCCAGAGCAATCAGGCAACAGAAACAAAGACAAGACATCCAAATAGGAAAAGAAGTCAAGCTGTCTCTCTTCACTGTCGATATGATAATAACTAGAAAACCTTGAAGACTCTGCCACAAGGCTCCTAGAACTGATAAATGATTTCAGTAAAGTTTCAGGATGCATTGGGAGTTATACCTGATGTAAATGACGAGTTGATGGGTGCAGCACACCAACATGGCACAAGTATACATATGTAACAAACCTGCACGTTATGCACATGTACCCTACAACTTAAAGTATAATAATAATAAATAAATTATTAAAAAAAAATAAATAAATAAAAAATAAAAAAATAAAAAAAAAAGTTTCAGGATGCAAAATCAATGTATAAAAATAGTTATTCCATACACCAATAATGTTCAAGCTGACAGCCAAATCAAGAATGCAATCCCATTCGGTCTTGGAAGGGGGTTTGTAACTCCACTTGACTCAGGGAACACAGAGCAGTGGGAACCAAGGCTGTCAGCGATAAAGGACCACAGGTGAACAACTCCGCGCCGCCGCCGTGGTACCACCTCCAGGTGGATCTTCTGCCTTCAGGAAGGAGACAAAAGAACGCAGAACCCTAGTAAGATCAGCTCAGGATTGACCCCTCCATGATCTGCCAGGACTCAGATCCCACCTCTCTCTCAGGGAGAGATCAGCTGCTATTGTTCCCATCCTGCCTCTCTGTCATCTAGTTTATGATTGTTCACTTTCCCTTACTTCATCATTAGTTAGACCCAGATCCCAGCAGAGATTTTAGGGCTTCGAAACCGAGGAAGACAAAGTATCAGCGGGAACACAGTGGGAAAGCCCACAGTGAGGGCAAGAGTCTTCCAGCTGTGGGCAAGGGTATCCCTGACGCAGGGCCAGAGCACTGACGGTGGGGCTTGGCACGAAGCCATTTGCCAGGATTTCTGTGTCAGGGTGAACCAGAAACCCATGTGTCCAAGGAATCCCACCTTCTAGTTCTTGCTGTCCTCACGGAGTGTCTAGGGTTCACCTTCGGCCTTCCCTTCTGCTCACAATCCCCTCTCCCACTGTCTGTGGGGCCCTGCCTCCAGCCTGCTTTGTTGGAGCTCAGGCAGCCTTCTTAATTATTTCGTCTTAGGAATTAAACCTAGAGACCCCTCAACCTTTGGCAGGTGATATACTTTCCCATGGTCAGATCATCAAGCTGCTGCCCCACCCAACATGTGTCTTGCTCACCCTCTGTGTTTCTGTCCATCAGACCACCCACCACATAGGCACCCCCTGGAGAGTGACCCTGGTTTAAATCAAGCCTGACTTTGCCAAACCACTGTGGATGCATTAATGTGGAAAGGCCCCTGCTAATCTCAGGGCCCACTTGCAAAGCAGAGACAGTCCCCGAGACTCGTTCAGCCTTGCCTTTCTCCTGTCAGCCAGGGACAGAGAGGGCTCAACTTGACCCAGAGCTAAGCCTCTCAGGTCGTCAATGCCCAGGCAAGAAGTGAAATTCACCTCATCTTATTTCTACGGTGAGATTTGGCAGGGGTCTTGGGGAGACATAGCAATCTGGTTTCTCCCTGTCCTCATACCAGGAAAAGCCCTGCCCCTAATCCAGAGGCCAGTTGGCCCCATCTCATCCTTTGCTTTGCTCACAGTATACCTGATGCCCTCCCTCCTGACCTGTGATTGGGATTGAGCTGAAGATAGTCACTGAGGTGATTCAAGGGATTAGCACTTGGTACAGGTAGGATAGTGGAGATGTGGTTGGGAACACGGATGGTTGAGGTAAAATGGAACAGAAGAGTGCAGGTTCTTGTCCAAGCTCCATACCCAGGAGATGACCATTACTTCGGCTGCCACTCAAGTCCTTACATGTCCTGAGCTTCTACTATATAGCAGCCACAATAGATTCTCAGGTTACAAAAGCAATGTCCCCAAGTGAGTTCATCAATTTACTGACATACACCCAATCATAAAACAATGTGATAATTTTTCTGTAGTCAGAATTTCTGAGCTATGAGTGGGGGTAGTTAATTCTATCCAGGAAGATTGGTGACTTCTTAGAGGAGGTGACAGTTAAACTGGACTTGGATAGCTGTCTGGAATTCGGTCAGGTAGGAAAGAAAATTCCAGGCAGAGAGATGAGCATGAACAAAAAATTTGGCCGTAATGATGCACGGCGATTTAGAGATCAGAAGTTCAGTGTGGATGCCTCTAAACGTTCTCTTGTCTGTGTCTGACAGCTTTTGATATTTTGTGTCATCATTTTCATTCATTTCAAAATACTTTCTAGTTTTCCTTGTACTTTTTTATTTGATATATAGTTATTTGGAAGCATATTATTTGATATCCAAACATTTGAGGATTTTTCCATATATCTTCCTGCTATTGATTTCTAGTTTATTTCCATTGCGCTCAGACAAGATGCTTTGCATGATTTCAACCCTTTACATATGCTGAAATTTATTTACTTAATTGTTTGTTTGTTTGTTTATTTAGATGGAATCTCACTCTGTCACCCAGGCTGGAGTGCAATGGTGCAATATCGGCTCACTGCAAACTCTGCCTCCCGAGTTCAAGTGATTCTCCTCTCTCAGCCTCCCTAGTAGCTGGGATTATAGGCCCATGCCCCCACGCCCGGCTAATTTTTGTATTTTTAGTAGAGACAGGGTTTCGCCATATTGGCCAGGCTGGTCTTGAACTCCTGACTTCAAATGATCGGCCTGTCTTGGCCTCCCAAAGTGCTGGGATTACAGGTGTGAGCTATCGTGCCCAGCTAAGATTTATTTTATGTTCCAAAAATGGCCCTTCCTGGTGAATGTCCCTGTGTATCTGAAAAGACACTCCCTGTCAACCCCTTTGCTCTGACATTTAGCTTTGATCAGCTTTTTCTCTCTTTTGTCACATCAGCAGAAACAATGCCAAGAAATGCCAGAGACAACAAAATAGGAATGTGTCATGGGCACACAGAGCTCTTTTTCACTGGGTGCTGCTCCTCCCTGTGACAGAGAAATCCATGCAACACAAGGGGGAGGCTGTCCCCAAAGGGTGGCAGATATACTTTTTTCCCCTTGAATTCCAACACACCCTTCCCCGGGCCTGCTCTGCCTCCCACTTCTGTTCAGCTCAGCTGTGGCACTGACCTCTGCCGGTGCTTGAGCTCTACCTGCTCCTGCCCAGACAGGAAGCCCTTCAGCAGCAGACTCAGTTGCCAGGATGAGGCTGGGAGTCAGGAACCCCTAGGTGTCCATGGAGGTCCCACCTCCTTTAAATCCCTACTGTTCAGATGCAGCTTCTAAAACTGTTCTTCTGCCTCCCTTCCTACTCACCAATCCCCTTCACTACTGTCAATGACACTGAAGTCCCAGCCTGCTTGATTGGGGCAGTTAAGTCCTTCTCAGTCACCTTCCACCAGGGGTTAAGGTGGGACCCCTTTGCCTGCAGCTCTGTGGGTGGGACCCCTTCCCATTTGAGCATATTCACTCCCTGGGTTCCTGCTGCCATCACACCACCCACCACACAAGTCCCTTCTGGACCAGTGGCCCTTAACTGACTCAAGCCTTATCTTGCCAAGCCTGTTGTGACACTGATCTTGGCAAACTCACTTTTCATGTCAGGGCCCCTGCAAAGCAGAAACAGATCTGAGTCATAGTATTTGTTTAAGCAATGACAAAGGTAGAATCATTTTTTACATCAGAAACATTGATCCTCAGTGAGTCATAGATAGAGTAGCCTATTTTTCTCGTTAGAGGGAACCTTAACTTTAAACTCCACAGAGAGAGCCCCCAGGAACTGTGACTTGAACCAAAGAGCTCTACTTAACTTTTCCAAATTGCTATACTTGAAAATGTTGAGGTCTGCCTGGGTCAATTTGGAGGGGATACTATAAGGACAAAGACAGCAATGGAAGAAAGAAATGAATTCTTCGTGTCAGAGCAATGGCGGAGAAACGGGACCAAAGAGCAGAAGATATCTGGCAATGTGCCTGGCATATAATAGTTCTCTCAGCCAGGTGTGATGGCTCATCCCTGTAATCCCAGCACTTTGGGAGGCCAAGGTAGGCGGATCGCCTGAGGTTGGGAGTTCAAGACCAACCTGACCGACAGGGAGAAACCCCATCTCTACTAAAAATGTAGGATGTAGTTCGGCAATGTAATGTTTAGAGGGTGGTGAAAGGATTTCTTATACCACAACCTTGTGTGTTATCTGGAAGTAAATGCTGCAGCCACAAGCACCACCAGTGAGTCTTCTCATGGCAAATGGGAAAAGGGGATGGAACCTTGCTGAGATAAATCATGCTAAACGCAGACAGCAAACAAACTTTCCATCAAAATGCTGGGGGAACCCCTGGGCCAGATGGCAAAGAGACAACACCCCAGGCAGGCATTCCAGATTTTAGACCTTGCCCCTCCTCAGGAAGAGATGCGTGCTTCGTCCCTCCTCTCACTGCACGTTTGTGCTGCCAGCCCTGCTATGTAGTGTAGGGGCTCAAGACTAAGACAATGCACCATTTCTGTGGAGAGAGATGGATCAGGGAGCGGGGGCTTGGGTGAGACCCATGGCTCACCTCTCTCGAGTCCTTACCAGACTAAGACACCTTCAAGGGCCAGAGACCAGCCTGCCACTCACCTTTTCGCCACCTGATATAGATGATGAGAAAAATTCCCATTAAGACAAACAAGATGAACGCCCCCAGGATGATCCATATATCTGGTAGGCTAGAAGAAGACTCATGGATATCTGAAACATTTACTGGTGACACTAAAAAAGAAAAAAAAACACAAGCCCTGTCACACCTAAAAATGTGCTTTCCACAGCCCCTGCTTTCCCCAGGAACACATGGTGCCCCACATAATCACTGGCTCACGTGACAGCCACTCTACCAGACCCTGGGCCATGAAGATGAATGGGGTTGTGCCTTGTCCTTATGGAGCTCAGATTTCTACTGAGAGAGGTAGCAAATATTCATCTGATTACCACAAAATTTCACATGATTACTGTGGTTAGAACTGTTTGGAGGATGACACAATGGGTGGTGCTTAATTCTGTGTGGGGAAGGCGGGGAAGGCTTCATGACTAAGAAGTGGCATTAGAACCGGTGGAAGGGTAATTATAATAGAGGAAGAGAAGGCCTGGATGTTTGCAATGACCCAGATAGACTTGGGACCATTCAGCGGTGGGTCATTGGTGACTGGATCATTGGTTAATGGGAAGGGGTTTCTACACTGAGGAAGAAACAGTGGAAAATGGGATGGGAAAGGGAGGATGATGGGAAATCCTTCTGGCCATCACCGACTCTCCAGACAGGAAGCCCACGGAGAAGTCAATCAAATTTTCTATTGCACACACGCTGACACTCACACAGGGAAGGCTTTTGACCTTTAAAGGGAGCTGCCTCATTCTCCCTCCCGGTTCAGTTACCTGTCGGTTCTGGCATCGCCTCCCACTGCTCTGAGAATTCCCTGAGCCAGTGATCACAGTCTCCCACTGACAGCTTCCTGAAATACTTTTCCAGCCCTCTGTCTTTCTTCCATGTGCCCAGTCTTACCACAGCTTCTTTGGTTAATTTACTGTCCAAGTCATGCTCATCACGTCTAAGAGGAGGGATTTCTCTCCATTGATAGCGAACTGCCAGGATGCACCAGTGCATCGTTCACCAACTCACGCTGACAAAGCATCTTTCGACCTGCAGAGTGGAAGGACCTGCAAATCCCGGGCACAAAGCCATCATCCTCCACTCTTGAGAGGTCCATCGTCTTCCAATAGGTCAAGTGTTTCTCTGCATATTTAGGGGCCTGTATTCTTTCTGCGGACTTGCCCTTTCCTGCCGTTAGGTCCCCTGTGTCTCTATGGTTGGGCCAAGGATCAATACACAAATACACCTAAAGACCCTCCCACCTGTGCTCTTCCCTCCCTCTCTTGCTGCCTGCCTCCGTTTCCCCACCCCATTTCACTTACCACTGGTCTTTATCTAGGGTTTGATGTCAGAAGAGGGCATCTGAGTCTCGAAGCTCACTTCTCCCGAAAGCGTTTGGGTCAATTCTCCCCATGTGCTGGTGGCATTCCACCCTTCTTCCCCAGGAGACCCAGAGAAGCAACCATGTTGCTGTCACTGTCGTACTGAAGAAAGATTTTTATTCATGAGAGACCTGTACTTCCCACACCCAGGGCTGTCCAGGTCTGGACCATGATTTTATAGTGAAGTTGAAGCAAAGAGAGTGAGCACCTGTGAGAGAAAGATGCAGGTGAGGAGTCAGGACAGGAAGAGGCCCATTAGAACCCGTGCTTCTGTGACCCAAGACTCCCTGGACCAGGCCAGGCTGGCAGAGAGGTGGTTCCATCCCCAGACTCCCTCAACCTTCCAGATCCTGCTCTCATCTCCCCCTGACTGTCTGGGGTGAGATGCTTGATGGTACGAGGACCCTTGAGGTATACTTAGTGTTAATGGTGTTAACAGGAGGATTCATGTCACCAAATACTTTAGCAACATCTACCAAGTTCTGAGGCACAAAACAGACAAGCCTGTGTGACCTCCTGAGACTTAAAATCTAGCCCTAGACACACCAGGACATTCAATAGAAAGGAAAAAGAGGTATTTATCACGGGACACCGCGCTGAATTCCTCTGGGGTCCCGGATGTTCAGGAAAGAGTCCTGGAGTAGAAGGTGGGGAGTAGCATTATAGAACTCACCACATATGAGACCGTTACCTGGCCTAGGGCCTCAGGCTAGGGTCTCCACACGGAGACTGAGGTAACATCAGGGATCCTCTCCCTCACATCGTCCTTACAGGCAGTACCTGCTGCCTGAAGCCTGCATGAGACCCCAGTCGCCTATCCCCCACCTTTCTCCCTCCTCCTCGTTGTCCTCAGCCAGGTCTTGAGATCTCAGGACACTCACCAACCATGATCTCCAAGGCTGTTAGTAGCAACAGTAAAGTGAAGAAGGCGCACAGGGCTACAAGTCAGGGGCATTCTTGGCACATTGTGAAGTAACAGGCAGGAAGCTGGGCGTGGACACAAACACCGTCACTGGTATGGTGAAATGTCCAACAACGTAGGTGTGGGCACTGCCCCAATTCTTTACCCTGGAACAACTGAGGGCAGGCCTGTAGAACCCACATTAAAGAACAATTTTGTGAAGGGAGTGTTTTCCAAGTATTCAGAATATAATTACTTATTGAAAAATAAAAAAGACATTTAAAACAAAAATTAACTTTGAATAAACCTCCCTCTCCTCTCCTGTCCCCATGGCCCCTTGCAAAAAAAAAAACCCCTCTGGTGTGAGCTTATGGTTGGAGGTTATGTATGAGTTCCTTCTCCTTCCTCAGTTTCTCTTCCCTTCTCCTCCCTGCCTCTTTTGCTTTTCCCTTTCTTCCTGGTACCCCCTCCCCATTCCTGTATTTTCTGCCATCTCCTTTCTCCCTTCTCACTCTCCCTAACTTATTTCAAACTCTTTTTTATCTTAAATGGTTGAAGATTTTCTCTCTGCAGCACACCCCAATATTATTTAAAGCTAGCTGCAGACAGGCAGCAAGTGGTCACATGACAGATGGGTTTTGTGTGTGTGTGTGTGTGTGTGTGTGTGTGTAATTGTAATAAAACATATTAAGTCACTCAATAAGCACTTAAAGTGTCTACATATCAGGCACTATTAGCCAGTGCTAATCAACAAAACTGAAATGGCCAAGCCCTTACAGTGGCTCATGCCTATAATTCCAGCACTTTGGGAGGATGAGGCAGGAGGATCACTTGAGGCAGGAGTTCAGAACCAGCCTGGGCAACATAGTAAGACTCCCATCTCTACAAAAAAAAAAAAAAAAAAAAATTATACTTTAAGTTTTGGAGTTATGTGCAGAATGTGTAGTTTTGTTATATAGTCATACTCATTCATATGGTGGTTTGCTACCCATCTTCTCCACCTACATTAGTATTTCTCTGTCATTATCCCTCTCCTAGTCCCCACCCCTGACAGGCCCCAGTGTGCTTGATATTCCCTTCCTGTGTCCAACGTGTTCTCATTGGTCAACTCCACCTGAGTGAGAATATGGTGTTGGTTTTCTGATTTTGTGATAACTTGTGAGAATGATGGTTTCAGCTTCATCATGTCCTACAGGAACAGAACTCATCCCTTTTATGGCTGCATAGTATTCCATGGTGTATATGTGTCACATTTTCTTAATCTATCATTGATGGACAAGTTTTGCTATTGTGAATAGTGCCACAATAAACATGTGTCACGGTAATGTCTTTATAGCAGCATGATTTAAAATCCTTTGGGTATATACCCAGTAATGGGATTGCTGTGTCAAATGGTATTTCTAGTTCCTAGATCTCTGAGAATCGCCACACTGTCTTCCACAATGGTTGAACTAATCTACACTCTCACCAACAGTGTAAAAGTGTTTCTATTTTCTACAATCTCTCCAGCATCTATTGTTTCCTGACTTTTTAATGATCGCCATTCAACTGCTTTTGAGATGGTATCTCATTGTGGTTTTGATTTGCATTTCTCTAATGACCAGTGATGATGAGCATTTTCCTTATGTCCATTGGCTGCATAAATGTCTTCTTTTGAAAAGGTCTGTTCATATATTTGCCCATTTTTTTGATGGGGTTGTTTGTTTCTTGTAAATTTGTTTAAGTTCTTTGTAGATTCTGGATATTGGCCCTTTGTCAGATGGATAGATTGCAAAAATCTTCTCCCATTCTATGGGTTATCTATTCACTCTGATGATAATTTCTTCTGCTGTGCAGAAGCTCTTTAGTTTAATTAGATCCCATTTGTCAATTTTGGCTTTTGTTGCCCAGTGCTTTTGGTGTTTTAGAAGTCTTTGCACGCCTATGTCCTGAATAGTATTTTCATGCTGTTTTTTTTAGCTCCGTCAGGTGTATGTTCCTCTCTACACTGGTTATTCTAGTTAGCAATTCGACTAACCTTTTTTCAAGGTTCTTATCTTCCTAGCATTGGGTTAGAACATGCTTCTTTAGCTCAGAGTTGTTTGTTATTACTCACCTTCTGAAGCCTACTTCTGTCAGTTCATGAAACTCATTCTCTGTCCAGTTTTGTTCCTTGTTGGTGAGTTGTGATCATTTTGGAGGAGGAGAGGTGTTTTTGTTTAGGTCTCAACCTTTTCATGCTGTTTTTTTCCCCATCTTTGTGGATTTATCTACCTTTGGCCTTTGGTGTTGGTGACCTTCAGATGGAGTCTTTGAGTGGATGTGCTAATCCTTTCTATTTGTTTCTTTTCCTTCTAACAGACAGGCGCCTCTGCCAGTCTGCTGGAGTTGCTGGTGGTCCTCCCGACCCTGTTTGCCTGGAGTATCACCAGCGGAGAGCAGCAAACAGTAAAGATTGCTGCCTGTTCCTTCCTCTGGAAGCTTCGAGCCCAGAGAGGCACCTGCCAGATCTGATGTCAGCCAGAGCTCTCATAGCCTTGAGGTGTCTGTCAGCCCCTACTGGGAAGTGTCTCCCCAGCCAGTGTATAGGAGTCAAGGGACCCACTTGGGAGACAGTCTGACCCTTAGCAGACCAGAGCTTCGAATGCTGTGCTAAGGAGGTCTGCTGCTCTCTTCAGGGCCATCAGGCAGGGACGTTTAAGTCTGCTATAAGCCCCTGACTGGGGCTGCTGCCTTGTTTACAGAGATACCTGACCATAGAGGAGAAATCTGAGAAGGTAGTCGGCCCACGGCAGCCTTGCTCAGGCTGCAGTGAACCACCCAGTTCCAACTTCGGCAGTTTTGTTTACCTGTGACCTTAAAACCATTTACTGAGGCCTCAGCAATGTGGAGGCCCTTTCAGATGGGTCTTATAATAGACTCCAGCAGTCCTACTGTAGCCAAGACCTCAAGAAAGCCAAGTCTATCATTAGAGGAAAAGTCTTGGGGCTCTAAGTTTCAAATTCTGAAAATTTGTCTTAGAACAAAATTTTGTGTCATTTTCAAATTTCTCAAGCACCAAGGTTTTCCTCATAAAACTTAGTATCTGTAGCCCCCCTTTCCACCTCACTTGTACAGCTGTCCCATTTCATCATGGACCCTTCTTAGCCAGTTCAGGCTGCCACAACAGAATACGTGGCTAAAACACCAAGCATTTATTTCTCACAGTCCTGGAGGCTGGGAAGTCCAAGATCAAGGTGTCAGCAGGTCCGGTGTCTGGCGAGGGCCCTCTCTTCCTCACCAGATGGCTGTCTTCCTGTTGTATCCTCACACAGTGGGAGCAGAGAGAGTGACAGCAAGCTCTCCTGTCACTTCTTTATCCCACAGGGCTACATACCCATGACTTATGACTTCCTAAATAGCATCACCTTTGAGAATTAGGATTTCTGCATATGAATTTGGAGGGCAGGCAAACATGCGGCGTGTAACACCACCCATATCCATTCCACATCTGGGTTCTCTCTGTGTGCCAGGCAGTATGCCAGTTAATTCAAGTGCATGTCAGACCCAGAGGGTGACATCCTGTGACTCATGATCACTGGTAAGTGGGTCTGTACCACTGTCCTTTCTTAACTAGATGGAACAGACTTCAAAGAAACTAACCATGGACTCTGGGCAGGGCTCTCTCCATGGGGCTGGGGGATAAAGAAGGGTTGTCTGCTCAGAGGACAGTGGGTCAAGGGTTTGAAGGGGTCAGGGATGCACATTTTTACACATCCCTACCTGGTTCTCTGGCTGCTAAGGTTAAAGCACCCCAGTTTTGAGGGTGCACTTCCGCCCTCTTGGTCTGGAGAAGGGTCTCAAATCTGTCCTAGGTAGAGCCTGTTACTTTTAAGCCCTGAGAGTGTGGGGAGAGGGACTCACTGCTACCAACCTGCAAGTGCTGCTGCTGTGGGGACACCAGGCGGGGTGAGCCAAGAACAGTGTGTGTGTGTGTTTGTGCCTCTGCGCATGGGTGCATGTGTGTGTGTATGTGCATGTGTATGTGTGATATGACCACTGAGTAGCTCCTTAGCAGGGCCAGTATTTTCTACAAGTCTGATGACTCACAGGAAGGAGCACAACAGGCCTGTGCCAGGTCACAACATCTGGGATGCTGACCTAACACTGAAGAAAAGAAGAGGCTGCAGACAGGCTGGGAAAATATAAGGAAATGGGAAAGGGAGCCTTTCCACCTTTGTTGCCCTCTGTGAGTCCTGAATCCAGCTTGGCATGAGCCAACATGGGGATGGGAAGGGAATAGCCATATTCCTTTGCAAAATGTCAGCTTCAGGCAGTGGTTTCAAAACTGAAATGATGGTTACATATGAAGTAGATTTTTGTTGTTTGTTTTTGAGACCAGGTCTTGCTCTGTTGCCCAGATGGAGTGCAGTGGCATGAGCATGGCTCATTGCAGCCTTAAACTCCTGGGCTCAATCAGTCCTCCCACTTCAGCCTCCCAGAATAAGCTGGGACTACAGGCATGAGCCCCCACACCCAGCTAATTTTTAAATTTTGAGTGTAGAGACAGGTCTCATCACATTGCACGGCTGATCTTAAACTCTGGGCTCACGCAATCCTCCCTACTCAGCCTCCCAAAGTGTTGGGATTATAGGAGTGAGCCACCACACCCAAACTGAAGTGGAATTTTAATTGAAGTAAGAAGCAGATGATAAGGAAGAAAGAACCAATAATTACATATAGTTCCTGGAAGCCCGTTGCTATACAAGAACTTTCAGCTTAGAAGTCCCAAGAGGGCAAAATTTTAAAATGAATTGGACTGCATTTTTCAATCCCTGAAAATGAGTCACAGCCTTTTTGTGGCAGTGTGCCCTGGGCTTCTAACCATCCTCTCCCTGCAGCTGCCTTGAGATCCCAGCCAATGGTTCCAACACCCGGAGCTGGGAATGCCAAGACCCGGCAGAGCGAGGCTATGGAAACCTTGGTATAGAGTGGAGGGGAGGATCTGAGGGAGAATGGGACAAGAGAAGTTGGAAGGAAGGAGTTAGGGCAGGAGAACAGAAAATCCCTGTCCCCCAAATTGGAGAGAGGGCGGTGGGACTCCCAGACTGTGGGGAGGCACAGATCCTGAGTGCTTGGCGTGGAGGCAGAGACCATGAAACCACCCCCTGTCCTCCCTGCCTTATCAGCGTCCTTCCACACCCCAGCTGGCCCACTTTTACTTCATTGCCCCTGGTTCTCTCACCACCTGAGCCCCTGCTTTCCTCCTTCCTCCCAAACACGCACCGTTCCCTCTGCACTGGTGTTGGAACACAACTCCACCCCACCCCCTACCTTGCCAGCAGGGAGGCGTTTGTCCTTCTGCCGTCTCTAGGATGGAGAGGCCTGGGGTGACTGCTTTCTTCCTCCAAGTCTCTGGGCAAACTCTCTGAGGAGCAGAAACCAGTCCAGTCCCCTGGGCGTGGAGGCCAGCCTGGCAGAACACCCGTCCAGCACGCAAACCCGGTGGGGCCACCTGTCAACTGTCACGTGTGAGTGATTCTAGGACAGAGTTCCTTGTCAGGAACTGGATCCAGTTCAGTACTGGATTCATCATCAATCAGCACTTACAAGACCAGGCTCAAGTCAGCCACAGGAATTTAGAAAGGATTTAATGTAATTTTGTGATTTAGTGGACACCAGCATGTAATGGCACATATGCTTTCCTTAATAGGCCTGGGTGGGACCCCACCTTTTCAGAGGTTTAGGCCTCTGCAGGTCTGGTCTAGCTGTGACAGTGGCCTCACCTCGTGTCCGGTGGGTGCTGGCGCCCTCTGTTGCCTGGTTTCTGTGTGAACACGGCACTACCGTCCTGCACTCTGGAGGCCGGGAGCTCCTGCCCCTTGAGCTCCTGTTCCCACTGTGTGTCGCCTCAACCTCCTATTTTCTTCTGCAACTCCATTCCCCTCCGCAACTGGAAGACCAGCTCTTCTCCTGAGTCTTCCTTAAAGATACCCTGCCCAATTCCTTACAAAGCCCCACCAAAAGAACAACAGCTACTTGTGAATGCAATAACTACTGAAGGTTTAGAGGTTGTGGTAAGGCTGTGAAAAATTAAAAAAAAAAAAAATCACCTATTTGCAGGACCTCTTTCTTATCTCTTCTTTGGACTAGAAATAAAATATCTATGGCTAGAAATAAAATATCTATGATTTGACCACACTGTCATCTAGTACCCGACCCTGGTTCTAGGCCACCGTCCTCCTGGCCAGGGTGATTGCAGTCCTGCCCTCCTTGGTTCTCCATGCCTGTCCCCACCTCCCAAATGGCTACAGAGCAGCCAGAGTGATCCTTCAGAACCTCACCACTCATACCCCTCCTCTGCTCCAAACCCTCCAAAAGTGCCCCTTTTCTCTCAGTAAAACCAAAGTCACTATAGACACCTAGAGAACCCTGTGCAGTCTGGTCAGCTGTCCTCTATGCCCCCTCGCTTGCTCAGTTCCGACCTCCACCCTCGGCCTCCTTGCTGGTCTTCAGAGCCCTGCAGATGTCCCCATGCCTCGGGACTTTGTGTTGCCCTCCCCTCAGCATGGACTGCCTTTCAGGCATCTGCCCAGCTCACTTCCACTCCTGCTTCCATGCCTAGTTCTCCCTGCCCCTCCCATTTGGAATCCTTGTATTCATTTATTTCGTTCTTTCTTTTTTTTTAAATTGTGGTATAATTCATGTAACATAAAATTTTTCATCTTAACATTGTTAAATGTAAAGGCCCCTATTTCATAATGCGAGACCTCTGCCTGCCTGGGCCATCCTGGACCTTCTTCACCTGAACTTGTTCCCCTAAAGCAATGACCACTTTAAACATAACCTTAGTAAGCCAGGCCCGGTGGCTCATGCCTGTAATCCCAGCACTTTGGGAGGCCAGGGCCACTGGATCACCTGAGGTTGAGAGTTTGAGACCATCCTGGCCAACATGGTGAAAACCCATCTCTACTAAAAATACAAACATTAGCCGGATGTGGTGGCCAGCGCCTATAATCCCACCTACTCGGGATACTGAGGCAGGAGAATCACTTGAACCCTGGAGGCGGAGGTTGCAGTGAGCTGAGATCATGCCACTCCTTTGCAGCCTAGGCAACAGAATGAGACTCTATCCCAATAAATAAACAATCAAACAAACCTTATTAGCTTTTAATTGTGGCTGCAACAAATTACTGCAAACTTAGTGCCTTAAAACAACATACATTCATTCTCTTATCATTCTGGAGCTCAGAAGTCTGAACAGTCTCACGGGGCTAACATCACTGTGCTGTCAGGGCTGTGTTCCTTCGGGACGCTCTTGGTGAGAACCTGTCTCCTGCTCACCTTTTCCAGCTGCTCCAACTGCCCACATCCATGGCTCAGGGCCCCATTTCCTCATCTTCAAAGGCAGCTCCACCAGGCTGAGTCCTGGTTCACATGAGAACTCTACCCCTCACTGGCTGGTTCTCCCAGGGCAGCTGATCGGCCACCTCAGCTCCATCTGCAGCTTTCACCGCCCTTTCCGTGTACCCAACACAGAGGTTCCAGGGACTGGATCTGCCATCCTGGGGGTTGGAGAGGGAATTATTCTGCCCAACACACATACCATATAATTTACATGTCTATCCATTTAAAATTTCTGTCTCTTACTAGAATGCCATTTCTATGAAGATACAAACCTCATACAACGCATAGAAAACAGACACCTTGGGGTGAAGGGGCTCAGATGGGCCCCCTGGCTCAGAAAACAAGGAGAGGTGTCAGGGCAGCTTCCTTGGGTCTCCAGCCTTCACAGTTGGGGCCCCCCTGGCAGGTTCCAGCCACTGAGGCAGCAAAAGAGATGTGGTGGGCAGCGTCAGGTGTTGGCGAGATTCCTGACACAGTTCAGTAGGAAAGAAACTTCCTAAACAGAGCTCACCTCAAGGAAGCTGGAGATGTATGCCACCTTACCCAATGAAATACAAATTTAGTTGGGCAAAACTCCAATCAGGGCTCAGAGCACTTTCCTTTTGCAGGTTTTGTGCAGGTTACAAGGGACCCACTTCTGTGTCTGGTCCCCTGTTCTGTCCTCTGACTTGCCAGGGTGGGGTGCTCATTAATACAGCCATTCCACATGGGAGAAATTGACCAAACAAAGGGGCTAACAACACCAAGCCAATCCAAAATCCAGCAGGGGTGCATGGGGCTGCTGCAGTGATGAGGCACTTGTTCTAGATATTTACCCAACCGTGTTGTCATAGGGGGGATATTATAGGTGATTGCTGATTTCAACCACAGATGACTTTCGGGGAAAGCTCTCACTTGGGGGTTTCAGTTTCCACCACACTAAGTCCTCTCTGGGTTCTGCGCTCTCCTCTCAGCCTAAGTCATTGCCAACAAGTGACGCAACAAGTGACATGAAGGTACAGCCTCCCTCCTGGCTGCTTTCACAGGATGGCCTTGTAGAGACACGAGGTCTCACAGCTCGGGATATTCAAGACCAGAGCTGATTTCTTTCTCATGGGGTCAGGCCACCTCACTCTATAGGCCAGGATGTCTTGTGAGTGAGGAGCTGATGGACATAGCAGCGGATCTTGACAGAAGTTCCTCCTCTTTGACTCAAACAACAGAAAGTGGACAGTGGTTCATGCTGGAGCCAGGCAGATGAAAGAGTATTGGGAGAAGAATAGGGATGTGAGTATGTGACCATGTTCTTTCAGAATATTTTGCTGGGAGGCTGCAAGAGCTGGCTAGAGGAATTCTCGATGCACAGGAAGAAAAGGCTGGAGCTGGCAGGTAACTGAGAACTGTCTTGAGATCTAGTTACCCCAGTGTGAGTGTGTCATTAGTGTGTGTGAATGTGTGTGCGAGTGTGAGAGTCACTAGTGTGTGTGAATGTATGTGAATGTGAGTGTATCTGTGTGAAAATATGTGTGTGAGTGTGAGTGTGTGTCAGTGTGAGAGAGTGTGTGTGTGATTACCGTGTGTGAATGTGTGTGTATGTGTGGGTGTGTGTAGATTTGTGTCTGGAGAGTGTGTGTGAGTGTGTGAGTGTGTGTGTGAGTGAGTCAGTGTGAACATGACCCCCTCATACAGGGCTCCTCCTGGGCGTGCTTGTGCTGTCCCATCCTCCTCTCCCTTCTCCCTCCTGACTCCTCTTCCTCACTGCACCTGCTTCTGCTCCCCTCACTGTGGATTTCTCACCACCCTTGAAACTGTGGGCATCACTGTGTTTCCATCTTTCTCCTTAGTGTTACCTCCTCCTAGGACCACTTTTCCTTTCCTGTTTCTTGGTCGGTATCTGGAAATCCATCAAAACCACCTCCAATGCCAGCCCTGAGGCCCTCCCCTCCCCAACCGTGGGGCATCACCTCCTCTTCCCCCACAGTAGGAGTGTGGGCTGTGGTGTCCCCTGGCTACCCTCAGCAGCTGTGTGAGCTTCCTGAGGACAGGGGACACCCCCTCTCCCTTCCTACCCCAGGACCTATCCCAGGGGCTGCCCTATAGTGGGGAAGGGGGGGAAAAACCTCTGCCTTCCAGGATGACCTGGGTCGGCAGGAGCTGAGGAGGCATGTCCTCAGATTTGGGGCCTGGACAAGGGCTGTCACTCTTGCATTTCAATTTCAGCACCACCCACTGTGGCCCCAGGCACAGATCAGCCTAAAGCCATGACCACCACCCTCAGTTCCTGAAGCCTCCTCGTTGTCCTCTGCTTCATTCTACTTGGCATCTGAGGAGAGTCCACTGTAGAGGGAGGGGAAACTGACACAGGCTTCCTGAAGGACGGGGTGACAGGGCTCATCAAGAGTCAAAAATATCCAAGTCTGCATGAAGAATATGTATTCATATTCATTTGAAATGACATAAAGACTCCCTGGAAAGGTAAGAAGAATCCAATCAAGTTTCGTCCCGGGCGTGTGGCAAATGAGAGTGGACGCAGGCAGGGATGGGGACAGCCTTTCACATGTGACTTTTCACGGTTTCGATTCTGAAACACGTGAATATATGGAGGTGAAGTAGTAAGAAAGAGTGGGGCCGGGAGCCCCGGGGACGGTCACCGGTTGGGCTTGCCTGATCTGTTGGGGGCCCGGAGGGTCCGGGGACATGAACCCGGGCAGGGGCGCACGGGGCTGCTGCAGTGAGGAGGCACTGGTTCTAGGTATTTACCCAACTGTGCTATCATAAGGAGGATATTACAGGTGATGGCTGATTTCAACCACAGATGACTTTCGGGGAAAGTTTGCTCCTGTGGGTTTCAGTTTCCACCACACCGTGCGCTCTCCGGGTTCTGCATGCACCTCCCAGGGCGCCCACTGCGCCCCAGCTCTGGACCCGGGTCCTGCCCGGTGGAGACCGATGAGTGGGTGCCCCGCCGCCGACCACAAGAGTTCTTTGTATATTCAGGATACCAGTCCCTTACCAGATACATGATTTTCAAATATTTTCTCTCAGTCTGTAAGTTTTTTTTTTCTCTTTCTTTCTAAATGGAATCCTTTTTGAAGCACTAAAGTTTTACATTTTCATGAAATGAAATTAAACTACCTTTTATTTTGCCATCTGTGCTATTGGCATACAGTACTCAAGAAGCCTTTGTTATATCCAGGGTCACAAAAATTTATTGCTTTATTTTCTTCTGAGACTTTCATAGTTTCATGTCTTAGGTGGACATCTGCCATTCACCTAGAACAAGTTTTTGTGTGTGCTGTAAGGAAGGGGTCTGCCTCATTCTTCTGCATGTGCCATCCAGTTGTCCCAGCACCATTCACTGTAGTGTAGGATGCACCTGCCCAACCTCCTGTCCGTCTCTTCTGTACTTAGCATCAGAACTGCATCCTGCTGAATGGTTCTCCCAGGGTTTCCATCAATGAAATCCCCTCATGTGAATCCCATGTAGGCACCTACTTCTCAGAGGACTTGGACTAAGGAGCGGATTTACCAGAGGAAATTATATTTCATGAAAGGGAAGCTTCTGAGTATGCTTATACTCACCATATCCCTTACTACAGCAAAAGTAAGGAATTGGCCTGGCACGGTGGCTCATGCCTGTAATCCCAGCACTTTGGGAGGCCAAGGTGGCAGATCACCAGGTCAGGAGATTGAGACCACCCTGGTTAACACCGTGAAACCCCGTCTCTGCTAAAAATACAAAAAATTAGCTGGACATGGTAGTAGGCACCTGTAGACCCAGCTACTGGGGAGGCTGAGGCAGGAGAATTGCTTGAATCCAGGAGGCAGAGATTGCAGTGAGCCGAGATTGTACCACTGCACTCCAGCCTGGGTGACAGAGCGAGACTCTGTTTAAAAAAAAAAAAAAAAAGTAAGAAATTGCATGATTTGGTCATTTGGGTCCCACAATTTTTATGTCAACTTAGCTTATTGGTGTTTACATATTTTTCTTATTTCTGTTGTTGTTTTCTTTGAGACAGGCTCTCCCTCTGTCACCCAGTCTGGAGTGCAGTGGCACCACCTCAACCCCCTGCAACCGCAAACTCCCAGGCTCAAGTGATCCTCCCACCTTAGCCTTCTGAGGAGCTGGGACTACAGTCATGTGCTACTACACTTGGTCAGTTTTTAAAACTTTCTGTAGAGACAGTCTCACCATGTTGCCATGGCTGATCTCCAGCTCCTAGCCTCAAGTGATACTCTGGCATTGGCCTCCCAAAGTTCTGGGATTATAGGCATGAGCCACCACTCTTGGCTCAAAAAGTTATTGCTTTTTAGGTTTTACTTTTCAGATGGTTGTATGACATTATGTAGACTTTTAAAATTCTGTATAAATAATTTGGACAATGCTGTACTATAGCAAGTTTTCTTCAGCCACAGCTTCCTAAAAATAGAAGTGGTATTAAAATGTTGTGCATTTGTCAAATCTTAAAGAAGTTTCAAATCTTTAGGGTGATTCTGACCTCTCATTTTGGCTGACACAATAATCCATAACAACAAGTAAAGCGCCCACTCTGATCTGGAAGGGGTAAGGAGGTGAAAGCATTGATAACCCAAAGTTATAGCCTCTTTTATAGACATGATCCTGCCTAAATTTCTCATGCCCCACAAAAGAGGGTCATGAACTCCCCGCTTCTCCAGAGCTCCATGCAGTCCTTGAAGCACTCTCTGGCTGTCTCCACAAGTGGCTGAACAGCTCCTCCTGGTCTCTGTAGGGCTGCGGAGGCTCCAGGTTCTCTAGGCCCAGGGGCTGTCATGCTCACCAGGTCTCACCAAGGGTGCACTCCACCATGGGAGGTGGAGGAGACCAGGTGTAGCTGCTCCTGTCCTTACCCCTCTCTAACCAGCCAATCTTAAAGGAAGGAGTAGGGATGAGTGGAGCCATGGAGGTCAGTGCTGGAAAGAATGGAAACGAAGACCTTTGTTCAATCCCCTAAATGATAGGGATCCTTTCTGAGTTCTAGCAGCCCTGGGGTAGTCTGATGATTGGACTCCTCTGATGTGTCTTAAATCATATCATATGGCAGGCACTGTGCTAGGTGCTGGGTTTACATGTGGGTGATGGATGTGTCCAGTCCTCCAGGAACTTAGAATCCAGGGACAGAAACAAACACCCACGTGGCTGCTGCTGCTGATGTGATGTCCCCGCAGTGGTTGGGACTATCAGAGGGCAGAAGAGGGGTTGACTCATTCTCCCTGGGGAGTTGCATGGAAGTTTCTCGGGAGGTGGCATTTCAGATTGCTCTTGTAGGAATAGGAAGAATACAGCGTGGCCAGGTGGGAGGAGAAGACAGGGCACCCAGAAGAGGGACAAGCATGAAGAGGAGGCTTGGGGGTGCAAATATCACAGAACTTTGGGGAGCTGTGAGAAGTCTGCAGTAATGGACCCTCAGTTACTGGGGTAGACTCTTTCCACAGGGAGGAGGGAATGTCAGGACACAAGATAAGGAAGGAGGCGTGGGCGGAAGCCCCCTGGAGTCCCTGTCTCCCTGACAGCAAATCAACCAGGAAATCAGTTCACCATTCATACATGCATGTTATCACACACACAGATACAGACACACACACACAGACACACAGAGACAGGCACGCACAGTCTCTCTCACGCACACTCACACCACACAGGCATATACACACTCACATAAACACACACATATGCATGTAGAAATACAGACACAGACACACACATGCACACACAAAGACACACATAAACACAAGGGAGAAACTGGGTGTCATCTCTAGAGTTGTCATGTCTGGCCCATGCTGCCCACTCACCTGTCACCTCAGGGGCTGTCTCCCAGCTCATGAAGGAGTTCTGAAGTCATCAAGTAGGATGTCACTGTGTAATCTGAAACACTCAGACAGCTCTTCACTCTGACCTTCCTTCCTGGTTTCCTTGGTTCTGGGATGAAACAGTGTCCTGCTAGTTTTCACTGTGGCAGAAGAAAAACCTCTCCCCTGGGGCAGAACTGCTGGGCCACCAGAGCGCACCCCTCTGCTCTTTGCCTTCAGGGCATCCTGATCTACCGGGTGGGAGGAACTGCCCCAATCCTCAGAAATGAACTCTTTATGGATTCCTCATTCGACATGATTTCAACGTCTCTTTTGTCTTCTCTGTAGCCCTTGACTGTGGATCCCAAACTGTGTGCCAAGGAGCTCATGGCACAAACTCACTGTGAGCAAACCCTCTGGGCTTACTGAAATATTTGCAAGATAAGCATTGCCATCTGCTGGACAAAACTAGGAAGTACTAGTCCAAGATATTTTATAGTTTCAACGTTAGACTATGCACCGTTACAGGTCATACGTGCGCGCCACCACACAGGGTAATTTTAGTATTTTTAGTAGAGACGGGGTTTCACCATGTTGGCCAGGCTGGTCTCAAACTCCTGAGCTCGTGATCTGCCCACCTCGGCCTCTGAAAGAACATTTTTTCATGTTTGTTGGCCACTTGCGGGTCTTCTTTTGAGAAGTGTCTGTTCACATTCTTTTCTTATTTTTTAATTGGGTTTTTTGTTCTTGCTTGTTGAGTTGTTTAAGTTCCTTGTAGATTCTGGATATTAGAGCTTTTCCAGATGCATAGTTTGCAGATATTTCTCCCGTTCTATAGGCTGTTTACCGTTTGCTAGTTTCTTTTGCTCTGCAGAAGCTCTTTAGTTTAAGGAGGTCCCCTTTGTCAATTTTTGGTTTTGGTTGCAATTGCCTTTGGTGTGTTCACCATGAAATCTTTTCCAGGCTGCATGTCTAGAGTGGTATTTCCTAAGTTATCTTCCAGGATTTCTATAGTTTTAGGACTTACATTTAAATCTTTAGTCCATGACGAGTTATTTTACATACATGGTGAAAGGCAGGGCTTCAGTTTCATTCTTCCGCACATGGCTAGCCAGTTATCGCAGCAGCATTTGTTGATTTTGTTGAAGGTTAGATGGCTGTAGGTGTGAAGTTTTCTTTCTGACTTCTCTGTTCTGTTCCACTGATCTAAGTGTCTATTTTTGTACCAGTACCATTCTGTTTTGATCACTATAGCCTTATATTATAGTTTGAAGTCTGGCAATGTGATGCCTCTGGCTTTGTTCTTCTTGCTTATGATTGTTTTGGCTATTTGGGCTCTTTTTAAATTCCAAATAACTTTTAGATTAGATTTTTCTAATTTTGTGAAAAATGATGTTGGTATTGATAGGGATAGTGTTGCATCTATAAATTACTTTTGGAAGTATGGCCATTTTAGCTATATTGTATCTTCTAACTCATGAGTATAAATTATTTTTCCATGTATGTGTGTTGTCCCTGGTTTTTTTCAGCCATGTTTTGTAGATTCTCTGTTTCCACACAAAATCTAGCAGAATCACTCATTTATTACTCCACATCATGGAGGAAAAATGAAATAACATTAATTCTCTACTGGGTAATACAAGAAAATTCTAAACTCAGTAGGTTTTTGCGAAATAGAACTCTCTGTTGAAATATTAGTACAGAGCAATAAATTACTAAGGAAATAATCATTAATATAATTTTTTCTTACTAAATAAAGAATTATCCTTCAGGACACGGAAAGAAACCCTGGAGGTCCGAAGTCTAACATGATTGTTTTACTGACTGTATCATTTGGAAGAAAGAGGTCATCATTCAAAAAGTACTCAATTTTCCAAACAAAAGCAGAAGAAATAAAATGTTGACATATCTTGTCTAGTTAGCCAGAACTTTAATTGCAGGAATTCCATCAGGTAGCACCAATAAAAAATAACATAAGATGTTAGGAATAACCGCTGGTAAAATTGTTGACAAAAGGAATCAAGGCTGTGAATGAGCTACTGGGTCCCTGGTGTCATTATGATCTGCTGGAGGCCTCTGGACATACACAGTAGGTGGTGGGCAGGTGGCCAACAAGAAGAGCGAGTTTGATCGAGACCCTGCTCACAGGGGATTTTTGGTATCATCTTTAATTTTCAAAAAGGACACACATGTTGGTTTAAGAGATGAATGAGAACCCGGATCACTTTTCCAGGGCAATCTTTCCCTAGGCACTCCACGTCTCAGAGCCCCCTGCACTAAGGGACCTGTTTTTCCCTTGAGCCCCAACCCCGGCACCTGCAGCTTGGACCATCCTCTTTCTTCCTTTGCGACATCACAGAGTAAGCCCAGGCCCTGCACCTGACCAGGGGATGGAGTGCAGGGGCCTGCAGGACCGAAGCTGGTAGTGATGGGCCTGCTCCCTCACTCAAGGCCCTCTCTACCCTCTGATGACAGGGCCTAAAACATAGAAAGACGTGGGGGGAACCCATCCAAAGAGAGGGCTCTGTATTCCTCTGTCCTTGGCCTTGGGTGGGCCTGCAGGGCAGCATCCCTCCTTCCCCTTCTTCCTCAGCCTCTCCTCACACTGGGAGCAGCACCCATAGCTCTGAAGGTGACAGTCCCTGTTCCACCTTATTCATTCTTGATCTAACCCAGTGGTGCCCATGGAACCCCAGTAGCAGCTCAGCTTCCCTGTGTCTGAGTCCACTCTGCTCCTGGCAGGGCCATCAGTCGGCTTAGGATCTAGGGTTTGCAGGAGGGTGATGGCAGGGGAGCTGCCTTAAGGTCTGGACTCAAACCTCATGGGCCCATGGGACTGACTTTTTAAAAAACCTTTTCATGAGTAGCCTCTACTCTTTGCCTTCCACCTTAATTCCTGGAATCCAAGCCACTTTCTGTGGGAGGGCAGCTCTGCACCCCCTCCTTTTCAGTTAGGTATACCACGGCTCTCCCAGCCCCCTCCTCCTGGGATTACACCTATATCTGTAGGGACCAGCCCTACAGGGCCTGTGGGTTTTTCTCTTCGTGTGCGGAGATGAGAGATCGTAGAAATAAAGACACAAGACAAGGAGAAAAAAAAGACAGCTGGGCCCACGGGACGACTACCACCAAGATGCGGAGACTGGTAGTGGCCCCGAATGCCTGGCCGCGCCGTGATTTATTGTGTACAAGGCAAGAGGGCAGGGTAAGGAGTGTGAGTCGTCTCCAATGATGGGTAAGGTCACGCAAGTCACGTGTCCACCGGACAAGGGGCCCTTCCCTATTTGGTAGCTGAAGTGGAGAGAGAGAGACGACAGCTTATGTCATTATTTCTTCTATGTATTTCTTGGACTTTAACACTTTCACTAATTCTGCTACTGTTATCTAGAAGGCGGAGCCAGGTGTACAGGGTGGACCATGAAAGCGGACTAGGAGCATGACCCTGAAGCACAGCATCACAGGGAGACATTTAGGCCTCTGGATGGCTGCGGGCTGGCTTGACTGATGTTTGGCCTTCCACAAGAGGTGGTGGAGCAGAGTGTTCTCTAACTCCCCCAGGGAAAGGGAGACTCCCTTTCCTGGTCTGCTAAGTAACAGGTACCTTCCCAGGCACTGGTGCTACCACTAGACCAAGGTCTGCTAAGTAACAGGTGCCTTCCCAGGCACTGGCGCTACCGCTAGACCAAGGTCTGCTAAGTAACAGGTGCCTTCCCAGGCACTGGCGCTACCGCTAGACCAAGGTCTGCTAAGTAACAGGTGCCTTCCCAGGCACTACCGTTACTGCTAGACCAAGGAGCTGTCTACCGGCCCTGTCCGGGCATGACAGAGGGCTCACACTCTTGTCTTCTGGTCACTTCTCACCGTGTCCCTTCAGCTCCTATCTCTGTTTGCCCTGGTTTTTCCTAGGTTATAATTGTAGAACAGAGATTATTATAACATTGGAAAAAAGAGTAATGCTACAAACTAATGATTTATAATATTCATATATTATCATGCCTATATTCTATGTCTAATACAACTATTCTTATTTTAAGTATTTTCTTTATTATACTGGAACAGCTTGTGCCTTCAGTCTCTTGCCTCGGCACCTGGGTTACTTGCCGCCCACACATCTCTCTCTCAGCCTCAGGGATGAAATCCCCCTTCCCTTGTCACACCTCATGTAAAGCTACCACGATGCACCTAACCCAATTAAGAGGACTGCCCATGTCTGAATTCCTGCTGCCTGCAGGCCACATACCCTTCCCGAGTAGGAACCTGTTCTGAATCAGGCCTGAACTTGCTAAGCTCAAGCTCAACAGACCCTGAGCCTTGGTATGGCACCACCCCGCCTTTCCCTCTGGACTCTGATGGTGAGAATCCATCAGAACTCAGGGCAGAGCTGCCCAGGTCATTTCCAACAAGCAACACAGGGTCTCATTCACCTGTCTCATGTCAGGATGAGAAGGTCTCAGCCATGCGGAGGGGCGGGACTTGGGGAATTCTCCATCCCCGTCCTCCCTCCTCACCCACCTGCCCCTTGCTCCACTCCCAATTCTGCCCCATACCTGTCACTCCAAAGGACTCTCTTCTGCAGCCAGGTAGGATGAAGCAGGGGAGGATGAGGAGGAGGCTCCAGGGACTGAGGGTGATGGCCATGGCTGTGGGTTGGGCTGTGCCTGGAGCACATGAGGAGGCACATGATGAGGAGGCAGCAAAGAATGAGGGTGGTGGCCGTGGCCCTGAGTTGAGCTGCACCTGAGGACATGGTGGGTGGTGCTGAAATGGAAACACAAGAGTGACAACCCTTGTCCAGGCCTCAAATCTGAGGAGATGCCTCCTCAGCTCCTGCTGACCCAGGTCATCCTGGAAGGCAGAGGTTTTGTGCCCTCCTGCTATGGGGCAGCCCCTGGGACAGTTCCTGGGGTAGGAAGGGAGGGGGTGTCCCTGTCCTCAGGGAGCTCACACAGCTGCTGAGGGAAGCAAGGTGACAGCACAGCCCACCCTCCTGCTGTGGTGGAAGAGAAGGTGATACTCCAGGGTCGGGGAGGGGAGGGTCTCTGGGCTGGCCTTGGAGGAGGTTTTGATGGATTTCCAGAAATAGACCAGAGAGAGGAAAGGAAAAGTGATTCTCAAGAGGGAACACTAAGGAGAAAAGTCTGAAAACTGACACCCGCAGCTTCGAGGTTGGTGAGAAATCCACAGCGCAGGGAGCAGAAGCATGTGCAGTGAGAAAGAGGAGTCAGGAGGGAGAAGGGAGAGGAGGATGGGAGAGCACAGGCACGCCAGCACCCCCAGGAGGAGCGCCCCATGAGGGGGTCATTTTAACATAAACGTGTATACTGGGATGACTGAAGCTGAACTCAAGAACTAGTTCCTTGAGATCACCGTTTCTGATCTCATTCGAGATCCCTGTTTCTTTCTTTTGTTACCTCCTGCACTTGGCTCCAGGGTGCTGTCCATGCCCATCAAGAAGTCCCCAAGCCATCTTGTGCAGTCTCCCATTGAGATGTAACGGAAGGACATGGTCACATCCTTGTCATTCTCCCACTTTTCTTTCATCTTTCTGGCTCCAGGATGAACCGTTGTCCACATTCTGTTCTCTGAGTCAAAGAGGAGGAAGACCTGTCCATCGAAACCAAACTGCCAAGATCCACTGCTGTGTCCTTCGGCTTTCTGCTCACAAGACACCCAGGCCTGCAGGGTGAGGGGATCTGCCCCCATCAGAGAGAGATCAGCTCTGGTCTTGACAAATTTTATACCCACATCCTGTTCCCCTTACAATTCCCTGGCCTTACTCTCTTGGCCACATCTTGGCCTTGCCTCTAGACCTCTGAAGGGGTTAGATGACCTTCCATTTGTTTTTTTTGTTTTTTTTTTGAGATAAAGTCTCACTCTGTTGCCCAGGCTGGAGTGCAGTGGCACAACCTCGGCTCACTGCAGCCTCTGCTTCCTAGGTTCAAATGATCCTCCTGCCTCAGCCTCCCAAGTGGCTGGGATTACAGGTGTGCACCACTATGCCCAGCTAACTTTTGCATTTTTAGTAGCGACAGGGTTTCACCATGTTTGTCAGTTGGTCTCAAATTCCTGACCTTGTGATTGGCCCACCTCAGCCTCCCAAAGTGCTGGGATTGTAGTCATGAGCCACCGCGCCCAGCCCCCATTTGTATTTTTACGTGAAAACTATAAATGCCTCTAACCTACCACTGTATCTGCTCCCTCCTGTCCTGGGCCATCTGAAACTTACCCCTGGGTGTGTAATTCTCCAGCTGAATGTCAAGCAGTTGCTCTGTGAGCATGTCCACCACCTCTCTCAGTACTGGGTTCTGTGCTTTCCAGGCCTTTGTGACACTTAATTTCTTCCCCAGGGGACTGATGGGTGTGACTGTCTTGTTGCCACAGTCATAGCGAAGAAAAGTCTTTTTATCCACCTGGCCTTGAACCGCACACCACTGTGGTCCAGGTCTAAATTTAGGGATGATGGTGATTTCATAGCAAAGAGAGTGAGGGTCTGTGGAGAAAGGCAGGTGAGGGGTGGGTGGGGAGAAAGAGACCCCTAGTTAGCCCTCCTTCACACTGTGACAATAAAAGGATGCTTTTTGCAGGCTGGGCTGGCCCAGGAAGGAGTGCCCCCTCCAGAACTGTGGTGTCCACAATACTAAGGCGAGTGCTTGCCCCTTGCATGAGGACAAGGAGGAGGTGGAGGAGGAAGAGGAGGCGGTCTCTGCCTGCTGAGAAACCACATGTCCCCAGACATGTCCCACTGCCCCTCTGTCCACATCAGTCAACATACGACCTTGCTAGAGAGGTGCCAGGGCTGCTAGAGGAGGAAGGGCCTGGATGCCAGAGGATCTTCAGCAGCAGCCTGCGTTGACTGTGGGAGGTGGGAGAGGGTGTGAGGGATGCCCCTGAGGGTGCTGGTACATGGTGCAATAGAGTGAGGATGGAACCCCGTTGGATAAAGAAGAATTGATTATCATGGTCACAGGATTTAACATGTTGGCAAAGTCCCCAGTGATAGTGCACATCTGCTATGACAATGCCTTCCTGAAACCCTGGACAAAGGGATAGTCCACGCAGCAAGAAAGGGAAAATCTGAAAGTCTAAGGCAGGTAGTAGAGGGAGGGATCACAGGATCAGAGAAGTGCCCATGCCAGAGGGGTCTAAGTGTGAAAATCCAGAACAATGTCCATCCACTGTGCTCATGGGAAACCTGGAGGACTCCTGTTTACCCAGCATATAAAGAAGGCCCCATGAGAAGACACCAGAATGGAATGAAGCTTAGGGATGCCTATTGCTGAAGGCCAGGGTTGGGGGTAGGAGATGCTCTTCCTGAAATGGACTCCCAGTAGTAATGGGATGAAAAATTCTGAAATTACAGATTCCAGGTGGAGGCTGTCAACTGTCAGGAGCAAGGAGGGTGCAATGATGGAAATGATTAGAGAAGTCACAATGCCAACCGGGAACCTCAGTTATACAAAGTTATGCCCATGGCTCATAGAACAAAGGGGTTCAAGGTCCAAAAGAGATGGAAACCCAACCCGGATACTGCTGGATTTAAATAATTACAAGAAACAGAGATAAAACAAATGATGGATGACCAGGAGGCTGAAAGTAGCCAGTCCTTCTAAAACAAGGATAGTTTGTCCAATTTGCAGAATGAAGCCACTTCTCAGACCCTGAACCCATGACTAGAAGAAGACACCAGTTTCCACTGAGGAAGGACCCTTTAACCCCGCAGCAAGTACAATGGGTCCTTGTGGCCTTCTACAAAGATATTTATGGCCACTAAAGTTTTCTGTGAAAGGCAATTTTATAAATATGCAAAGGTGTGCAGGGAATATATTCTCCATTGTAACTACTCAACTCTGCTGTTGTAGTTCAAAAGCAGCCATAGACAATCCATGAATGATGAGCGAGGCTGGACGTGCCTTAAGTGCCCGATGACCCAAGGCCCCCTAAGATCCTAGAGGTACATGTGGTTGCAATATCTAATTGGAGAATCACAACAAATATTCCATGTGAATGTTCAGAGGCAAGGCAATGCCACTCACAGCAAGCAAATCTCAACATTAAACAGTGGCTCCTGTAGAGTACTGTGCCTTGGCAAAGATGGGGCCTTCAGCAATGCGAGGGCAGTGACCATCCAGCCTCAGAGCTCCCCATTATGGATAGACTCCTCACCCTCTAGGTCATTAGGAAGATAGGCCCAGCAGTGAGAAGACACAGGTGGGTCTCCTGGGATGGGCAGGAGCAGGGCCACAGAGAACCAAGAAGCTGCACTAGCAGTTGGCCGCGATCTGCAGGACACCACGTGGTTGTACCCTCTCACCCTCAGCTCATACCTGAGGCTTTAGGGAGGGTCGCTGATGGCCCCTGTAGACCATAGATGCCACTCAGCAGCAAAGGAGGGAAAAATAAGCCCCCAACTATGGCACCCCCACTCCCATCACATCCACACCACCCAGAAGCCACAGACAAGGTAGGACCACCTTCTACTCTCCAACTGACACCTGAGGCATTACTTAGAGATGACACCCTAAGAGATGGGACACTGTAATCCCCTCATCTGGGATCAGCAACCTAGGACAGGGTCTGAATCTGGTCCCCCCTCATTTGCAGGTTGCCACTGCCTGTTGCTGCTCTACAAAGGGACAGGACTGGACACAGAGAGCAGAACCCAAGGCCTGCAAAGATCACAGGGCATCCTTCCTCCCTTTCTAAAAAGGCTTTGCTGACCCCTGTCTACACAGTGACTATTCTCTACCAGGCTGGCTCCCCGGTAGGAAGAACAGGCTTCATTAGGAAGAACAGGCGGGTCTGGGCCCCAAGGGCAAATGGGGCGCCTCTAATCACCAGAGTTCCCAGGGTCATTATGGAGGGAATGGTGCTTCCCATGCCCTCTGCACAGGTTCCGAGGGGAGCTTGGGGTGTGTTTGCTGGGATGTGTCCTCAGCCAAGAGGCAGAAGGTGCCACATGGTGTAGGAGGTGGTGAGGGCCCCTTCATGGATGGGGAGACCTCTGATTTCAGGGATTGCTCTTGTAGGAATAGGAAGAATACAGCGTGGCCAGGTGGGAGGAGAAGACAGGGCACCCAGAAGAGGGACAAGCATGAAGAGGAGGCTTGGGGGTGCAAATATCACAGAACTTTGGGGAGCTGTGAGAAGTCTGCAGTAATGGACCCTGTGTCACTGGGGTAGACTCTTTCCACAGGAGGAGGGAAAATGTCAGGACACAAGATAAGGAAGGAGGCGTGGCGAAGCCCCCTGGAGTCCTGTCTCCTGACAGCAAATCAACCAGGAAATCAGTTCACTATCTATACATGCATGTTATCACACACACAGATACAGACACACACACACAGACACACAGAGACAGGCACGCACAGTCTCTCTCACGCACACTCACACCACACAGGCATATACACACTCACATAAACACACACATATGCATGTAGAAATACAGACACAGACAATACATGCACACACAAAGACACACATAAACACAAGGGAGAAACTGGGTGTCATCTCTAGAGTTGTCAGTGGGTTCGGCCCATGCTGCCCACTCACCTGTCACCTCAGGGGCTGTCTCCCAGCTCATGAAGGAGTTCTGAAGTCATCAAGTAGGATGTCACTGTGTAATCTGAAACACTCAGACAGCTCTTCACTCTGACCTTCCTTCCTGGTTTCCTTGGTTCTGGGATGAAACAGTGTCCTGCTAGTTTTCACTGTGGCAGAAGAAAACCTCCCCTGGGTGAACTGCTGGCCACCAGAGCGCACCCCTCTGCTCTTTGCCTTCAGGGCATCCCCGGATCTACCGGGTGAGGAACTGCCCCAATCCTCAGAAATGAATCCCTTTATGGATTCTCATTCGACATGATTTCAATGTCTTTGCTCTCTCTGCAGCCCTTGACTGTGGATCTCAAAACTGTGTGCCAAGGAGCTCATGGCACAAACTTCACTGTGAGCAAACCTCTGGGCTTACTGGAACATTTGCAAGATAAGCATTGCCATCTGCTGGACAAAACTAGAAGTACTAGTCCAAGATATTTTATATAGTTTCAACGTTAGACTATGCACCGTTACAGGTCATACGTGCGCGCCACCAATATGGTAATTTTAGTATTTTTAGTAGAGACGGGGTTTCACCATGTTGGCCAGGCTGGTCTCAAACTCCTGAGCTCGGTGTGGGATCTGCCCACCTCGGCCTCTGAAAGAACATTTTTTCATGTTTGTTGGCCACTTATGGTCTTCTTTTGAGAAGTGTCTGTTCACATTCTTTCTTATTTTTTAATTGGGTTTTTTGTTCTGCTTGTTGAGTTGTTTGGGTTCCTTTGCAGATTCTGGATATTAGAGCTTTTCCAGATGCATAGTTTGCAGATATTTTCCCGTTTATAGGGTTGTTACTGCTTGTTGTTTCTTTTGCTCTGCAGAAGCTCTTTTTAGCTTGGCTGGAGTGGGTCCCTCAGTCAATTTTTGGTTTTGGTTGCAATTGCCTTTGGTGTGTTCACTCATGAAATCTTTCCAGGCTGCATGTCTAGAGAGGGTATTTCCTAAGTTATCTTCCAGGATTTCTATAGTTTTAGGACTTACATTTAAATCTTTAGTCCATGACGAGTTATTTTACATACACAGAAAGGCAGGGCTTCAGTTTCATTCTTCTCCGCACATGGCTAGCCAACATCACCGAGCAGCATTTGTTGATTTTGTTGAAGGTTAGATGGCTGTAGGTGTGAAGTTTTCTTTTCTTGACTTCTTGTTCTGTTCCACTGATCTAAGTGTCTATTTTTGTACCAGTACCATTCTGTTTTGATCACTATAGCCTTATATTATAGTTTGAAGTCTGGCAATGTGATGCCTCTGGCTTTGTTCTTCTTGCTTATGATTGTTTTGGCTATTTGGGCTCTTTTTAAATTCCAAATAACTTTTAGATTAGATTTTTCTAATTTTGTGAAAAATGATGTTGGTATTGATAGGGATAGTGTTGCATCTATAAATTACTTTTGGAAGTATGGCCATTTTAGCTATATTGTATCTTCTAACTCATGAGTATAAATTATTTTTCCATGTATGTGTGTTGTCCCTGGTTTTTTTTCAGCCATGTTTTCTTTGTAGATTCTCTTCGTTTCCACACAAAATCTAGTAGAATCACTCATTTATTACTCCACATCATGGAGGAAAATGAATAACATTAATTCTCTACTGTAATACAAGAAAATTCTAAACTCAGTAGGTTTTTATAAATAGAACTCTCTGTTGAAATATTAGTACAGAGCAATAAATTACTAAGGAAATAATCATTAATATAATTTTTCTTACTAAATAAAGAATTATCCTTCAGACACGGAAAGAAACCCTGAGGTCCGAAGTCTAACATGATTGTTTTATTGACTGTATCATTTGGAAGAAAGAGGTCATCATTCAAAAAGTACTCAATTTTCCAAACAAAAGCAGAAGAAATAAAATGTTGACATATCTTGTCTAGTTAGCCAGAACTTTAATTGCAGGAATTCCATCAGGTAGCACCAATAAAAAATAACATAAGATGTTAGGAATAACCGCTGGTAAAATTGTTGACAAAAGGAATCAAGGCTGTGAATGAGCTACTGGGTCCCTGGTGTCATTATGATCTGCTGGAGGCCTCTGGACATACACAGTAGGTGGTGGGCAGGTGGCCAACAAGAAGAGCGAGTTTGATCGAGACCCTGCTCACAGGGGATTTTTGGTATCATCTTTAATTTTCAAAAAGGACACACATGTTGGTTTAAGAGATGAATGAGAACCCGGATCACTTTTCCAGGGCACCTTCCTAGGCACTCCACGTCTCAGAGCCCCCTGCACTAAGGGGGACTTTCGTTTTTCCCTTGAGCCCCAACCCCGGCACCCTGCAGCTTGACCATCCTCTCTTCTTCCTTTGCTAGTATCACAGAAGCCCAGGCCCTGCACCTGACCAGGGGATGGAGTGCAGGGGCCTTGCAGGACCGGCTGGTAGTGATGGGCCTGCTCTCACTCAAGGCCCTCTACCCTCTGATGACAGGGGCCTAAAACATAGAAAGACGGGGGAACCTATCCAAAGAGAGGCCTGTATTCCTCTGTCCTTGGCCTTGGGTGGGCCTGCAGGGCAGCATCCCTCCTTCCTTCTCTTCCTCAGCCTCACACTGGGAGCACCTATAGCTCTGAAGGTGACAGTCCCTGTTCCACCTTATTCATTCTGATCTAACCCAGTGGTGCCTATGGAACTTGCAGTAGCAGCTCAGCTTCCTGTGTCTGAGTCCACTCTGTTTACTGGCAGGGCCATCAGTCGTGCTTAGGATCTAGGGTTTGTAGGAGGGTGATGGCAGGGGAGCTGCCTAAGGTCTGGACTCAAACCTCTCATGGGCCCATGGGACTGACTTTTAAAAACCTTTTCATGAGTAGCCTCTACTCTTGCCTTCCACCTTAATTCCCTGGGAATCCAAGCCACTTTCTGTGGGAGGGCAGCTCTGCACTCCTCCTTTCAGTTAGGTATACCACGGCTCTCCCAGCCCCTCCTCCTGGGATTACACCATATCTGTAATTCAGCCCTACAGGGCCTGTGGGTTTTCTCTTCGTGTGCGGAGATGAGAGATCGTAGAAATAAAGACACAAGACAAGGAGAAAAAAGACAGCTGGGGCCCACGGACGCAGCTACCACCAAGATGCGGAGACTGGCAGTGGCTCCGAATGCCTGGCCGCGCCGTGATTTATTGTGTGTACAAGGCAAGAGGGCAGGGGTAAGGGAGTGTGAGTTGCCCCAATGATGGGCAAGGTCACGCAAGTCACGTGTCCACCGACAAGTGGGCCCTTCCCTATTTGGTAGCTGAAGTGGAGAGAGAGAGACGACAGCTTATGTCATTATTTCTTCTATGCATTTCTGGATCTTAACACTTCACTAATTCTGCTACTGTTATCTAGAAGGCGGAGCCAGGTGTACAGGGTGGACCATGAGCTGACTAGAGCATGACCCTGAAGCACAGCATCACAGGGAGACATTTAGGCCTCTGGATGGCTGGGCAAGGGCTGGCTTGACTGGATGTTTGGCTCTTCCACAAGAGGTGGTGGAGCAGAGTGTTCTCTAACTCCCCCCCAGGAAAGGAGACTCTTTCTGGTCTGCTACAACAGGTACCTTCCCAGGCACTGGTGCTACCACTAGACCAAGGTCTGCTAAGTAACAGGTGCCTTCCCAGGCACTGGCGCTACCGCTAGACCAAGGTCTGTTATAACAGGTGCCTTCCCAGGCACTGGCGCTACCGCTAGACCAAGGTCTGCTAAGTAACAGGTGCCTTCCCAGGCACCAACAAGCATTGCTAGACCAAGGAGCTGTTCACCGCCCTGTCCGGGGCATGACAGAGGGCTCACACTCTTGTCTTCTGGTCACTTCTCACCGTGTCCCTTCAGCCTCATTCTGTTTGGTTCTGGTTTTCCTAGGTTATAATTGTAGAACAGAGATTATTATAACATTGGAAAAAAGAGTAATGCTACAAACTAATGATTTATAATATTCATATATTATCATGCCTATATTCTATGTCTAATACAACTATTCTTATTTTAAGTATTTTCTTTATTATACTGGAACAGCTTGTGCCTTCAGCCCTTGCCTCGGCACCTGGGTTACTTGTCACTTCCACACATCTCTCTCTCAGCCTCAGGGATGAAATCCTTCCCTTTGTCACACTCATGTAAAGCTACCACGATGCACCTAACCCAATTAAGAGGACTGCCCATGTCTGAATTCCTGCTGCCTGCAGGCCACATACTCCTTGAGTAGGGAACCTGTTCTGAATCAGGCCTGAACTTGCTAAGCCTGCTCAACAGACCCTGAGCCTTGCATGGCACCACCCCGCCTTCCTCTGGACTCTGATGCAGAGAACTATCAGAACTCAGGGCAGAGCTGCCCAGGTCATTTCCAACAAGCAACACAGGGTCTCATTCACCTGTCTCATGTCAGGATGAGAAGGTCTCAGCCATGCGGAGGGGGCGGACTTGGGGAATTCTCCATCCCTGTCCTCCTCCTCACCCACTCGCTCCCTTGCTCCACTCCTAATTCCTGCCCCATACCTGTCACTCCAAAGGACTCTCTTCTGCAGCCAGGTAGATGAAGCAGGGAGATGAGGAGGAGGCTCCAGGGACTGAGGGTGATGGCCATGGCTGTGGGTTGGGCTGTGCCTGGAGCACATGAGGAGGCACATGATGAGGAGGCAGCAAAGAATGAGGGTGGTGGCGTGGGCCCTGAGTTGAGCTGCACTGAGGACAGGGTGGTGCTGAAATGGAAACACAAGAGTGACAACCCTTGTCCAGGCCTCAAATCTGAGGAGATGCCTCCTCAGCTCCTGCTGACCCAGGTCATCCTGGAAGGCAGAGGTTTTGTGCCCTCCTGCTATGGGGCAGCCCCTGGGACAGTTCCTGGGGTAGGAAGGGAGGGGGTGTCCCTGTCCTCAGGGAGCTCACACAGCTGCTGAGGGAAGCAAGGTGACAGCACAGCCCACCCTCCTGCTGTGGTGGAAGAGAAGGTGATACTCCAGGGTCGGGGAGGGGAGGGTCTCTGGGCTGGCCTTGGAGGAGGTTTTGATGGATTTCCAG